TAATGTAATATAATATAATATAATATAAAAATTTATAATATGTTATAAAATATTTATAGAAAATAAAATAATAATTAAAATTGTTTTTATTAATTTTTTAAATATTTTTCTAGTTTTTATTAAAAATATTTTTATTATAATCATCGCGAAGCGAATAAATTTTCAAAAAAAATACGTGTCCATAAACTATTCGATTCTGAATATCAAGATGAGTCATGCATTTGGAATACACTTCATAAAATATCTGTTACATACATATATCATAAATATTAACAGTTTTTATGATCTCTTCAATGATATTTAATTTGACGAATTTTTTTTCATTTATAACCTCAATTTCTTTTGATTTAAGTATAAATATTCATTTTTATTTAAAATTATTGTTTTTGATAATAAATTTTTGATAATATATTATTTATTATTTTGGAAATTAAATGAATAAAAATATTCCTTTCTAAATCATTAAAATTATGCATTTATTTAGAAATTATTAATATATCGATTAAAATCTTTAAAACTTTCATCAGAATTCTAGAAACACTTTATCGTTTAGATTTTTAATAAATTTAACATATCATTTTCACATTTCTCCAGCATTTTTTTTTTTTTATTGAAAAAAAAACAAAATTATTTGACCTAATTATCTAAAATATCACGTTTTAAATACTAGGTACCGTGAAATAGCGTAATCAATTGCTCATATCCTCTTACCATCATTCAGAATATGGCGGCCTTGTAGACTCTTTGATTAGCAACTGATCATCATTTAGAATGGCCAAGCCATTTTCTTGATGAGAAATTTTAGTAGTTGCGTATTATTTTTTACTAGGGTAGGTCTGATATCGAAAGTTGATATATCAACAAAGTGAAACGCGCCATTTTTCGTGATATTCACGTATGCTTTTTTTAGGTCACGTGACTCGAGTATTCGGTCCCTCCTCGGGTCGAGAGATTTGCAATAGAAAATGAGATGACTGCGTGCTGAAGATTTTTTGACGAATTTAAAAACTGAATTTTTAATTAGAATAAAATGATTTTTACATATATAATAGTAGTGCTTCTGTGTTTGCGATTTCATAAAGTTTTTTATGATTTTTATTAGCGAAAAGAATAATATATATGTGATAAATATATATAGAGATATAAAAAATAATTTTTCAATATTATGCATTGAGATTTAATGGAAATTATTTTTGAATTTGAAAGATAATTTTAGATTTAGAAAAAAAGAATTATATATTTATATATATTTATTCATTAGAAATTTTGCATAAATTTTAAAAAAAGAGTTTGAAAAATATTTTAAACGACATTGAATGAATTTCTGAAATTAAAATATTGTAAAAATGATATTAATTAAAACTAATTAGAAAACTTAATAAAAGAATTATGAATATTTACTGAAAAAGAATAAAAGTAGCATATAAAACTTTTTTCTTTTCTTTATTAAAGAATTAGTTTTTAAAAAATATGTAATATTAGTAAAAAAATATTCACTAAATAAATGTATTTAAATTTTTTGTTTGAATATATATATATATGTGTGAGTGTGTATTACGAGAATAAAAAGTTTTAAGTCTTGTTTTTATTGGATAATAGTTTTATATAAAAAAATAGTTTTATATGCGTTTGGAAAGATTTGTTGGGAATATAAAAGAGTAGAACATGCATAAGACAAGATCTTTAATGCATATCTAGTTAAAATTTATTCGTTTTTTGACTTCAAACAATTTGCTGACTTTTAATCTGTCGTTCGAGAAAAAAAAAAATAAAAAAAGAATGAAAAACTTTTTTATTTTTCTTTGCGGTTGAATGGTTTTTCATTTGTGTAAATTTATTCATATACGTAAAATTCAAGAATCATGCTTGCCTTTTTTCTATCTATCCGAACATGTACAAATATATATGAGTAAAGAAATATTTTTTATATTTACAATATAAAATTTCTAATCAAATTTCTAATCAATATATAAATACAATATTTTAAATATACATTGAATAAAATTCTTTTCAATAAAAATCTTATATTATATTTAAATCATTTTACAATTATTAAGATCTTTATTTTTCGAGAAGTTAATAGCACAAAATAAATACTTGTTCATGTATGATATAGATATTTATATTCACTTAGTCCAAAAGAAAAAAAATGAGTTTAAAATATCTTTGAATGTTTTTGAAAAATATAGATATTTTTGCGTAATGCATTTCCTTTGATTTAAAGAAAGATTTAATCTTAAATAAGAAAAGATAATCTTATTTTGCATTAGATTATGTACAGGCTTAAACTAACTTTAGTTATTATAATTAAATATCTTATTGTTATTAGAAAATTAATTTTATACGTTCATTGTTATATATATTTATGATAATCTTGGAATTTCAGTTATAATCTGTAAGTAATTTTTACAAAACAAGTTTTTTTACAAAGTTTTTTTACAAAAGAACTAGAAGTAATGAAAATGCACTAATCTGTAACTTAAGATAACCTAACCTCTAAATTCTCTTACTTTCTTACTTTCTATTCACGGCTGAAATTATCTAAGTTTTCTTCAAAGTTATCTAAATTTAAAAAAATTTTTTTTTTTTGTACACTGAAAAAAAATTGATACTTTATTGGATAAAATAAATATATTTTCCGTCCGTTTATTCTGAAAGAAACTAGTTTATTTTTTATCTTTTTCT